ACCCCGCTCCCCTCCAGTGTTTGGGGGGCCTCCCCCAGAAAAGATTTGAGAGGTTCAGGCTCTGAAAAGTGCATTTGGTGGATCCCACCCCCCTTTTATTTTCAAATTTTCCCCCCCCTGGAGATCCTTGCTATAGATAATGGTGAAAGCATAAATCCCTATAGGTCTGGATCCCACAGGTCCGGACCCCATGACCCTCCCCCAGGATCCGCCACTGAGGTTTTTATACGGCATAGCGCATATAGCATACAAGACAATTAACAAATACAAATGTCATAGGCATGGTAACCTTTGACTAAACATTTAAAACCAATTGTACGTTTCTTTCGGGGTTTGTTGTACTAAGGCTCTTTCAGACCATGGAGTATCTGTTCCATTGACACTGAAAGCTGTCAATATCAGTTATTTATGATTATCGCATTATGCGCCGATATCCGATTAAACTAACAATATTTTAATTATTATCGATTGATTTCCAATCATCGATTGGTCAGGCTGCGGAATAAGAGCCCTTCAAATAAGGGCCCCTCCTTTCGGGTGAACATTTGGAATGAAGCGCCCCTTCCCCTCGAGTTAGTGCCCCCTCCCACTCTGTTTTTTTGGGGGTGAGAATTGAGAAAACAAAGGTTGAGTATTTTCACTTGCTAAAATATCCACACAAACTAACCCGCGTGCCAATGCTAACGTAGCTCCAGTATACCCATGCAGTTAATAGAAACCTTACTACACCTACTCACTTAGTCTATATAAAGGATGCCCATGTTATTGCGCATATTACTGTGTGTCCGCATGCCACGTCATGCATCAAGCGCGCTGCAATGATAATGGGAAACTGGACAAATATAGTGCTGAGTGGCCACTGCACAAAGATTTTACTCTCTCTGGATGCCATGGTGACCCTTAAGGGGGAGTGTAATTTGGAAATGTGTATAACCCCCCTCAAGCTTGGACAATTTTTCTCACACGGCCCCTACCCCCCCCCCCCCCCCCCCAATAAGGTAATTTTCTGGAGATGACCCCCTCCAAAATAAATGACACCTGGTGCTTTAAACGATTAAGTACGTTTAAATATTCATTTGAAACAGTTCGCATTCACATAATATGCTTACAATATTTTTGTGGAAAATGTGCAAACGTATAGGAAAAAACCAGGGGCCGAACTAGCTAGACTTGTGTAAGGGGAAATTAAGTGCCGAAGGCGGAAATTTCTCAAAGGGGCGATTCTCTAACATTTTTGAAAAATTAGATGCTGGACAATCACTAGCCGCGATATAATTTGCTTAAAAAGATAAAATGACCCATATTTTAATTGCATTTTTAGTTTAATTTGCGAAACTGTTTATCATATTCCGTAATACTAGATATTTCATGAGCAGGAGCAAATTTTCTCTATCAATTTGTAAACAAATTCTATGATACCTCTTTTTCATTCTCAGTATTTCGCCCGACACCCTTTTGCTTCACTTTTTTGGCACAGCCCCACCATTGAAGCCGTTTTTCGCGTGGCCCCCCTCCCCTCATCTTATAAAATTATCTAGAGTATCTCCATTTTATTCTTTTTTTTGTTTTGCTGAATAGTAATGAAAGCCAATAGTCGCCTTAATGACCAAGGTTCTCAGAAAACAACTACGTTCTTCAACGCGTTTATCTCCGAAACGAGCACGGTAACACCTCAATATTTTGCCTTTCGGACATGAGTTGGATCATTCATCTACGAGACTCGCAGTAAAGTTTTTCAAAAATCTGACCGTGGGAAGATTTGGGCGCGAAACGTCGCATTAATTCAGCGTTTTCTGCGTCTTTCGCAAAGTTATGCGGTCTTGAAGTCTTATCCAATTTTTGTGTACCTTCACGTCGCCGACAGCTGCCGTTCCTTTGTATGACCGCCTCGGCTTCTTATTCTATGGCCTTGGCTAGTCTCCGATGCTCAATGTAGTTTTCGCCCTTTCTCAAGTAGAAGTGTTTGTATTGTAATGGAAATACCAACTAATAGTGAAGCCTGGTCTTGCTAAAAGTTACTATACTAGTACAGAAAAACAGTTAAAAAATTTATTTGACTAAGGACGGGGTAGGAAGGAAGTGGAATGAAACTTGAGTGTTAGTCTGAAAATATTGCCCCAAATGATCCGCTGGAAGAAAAACTTTCTTTGCCAAAATTTACAGACAACTGTGTCTCCTGAACGGGATATATTCAGGATGCCCATTTTCTAAGCCTGTCAACCCGCAATTTTCCGGCAGGATTCGCTGGCGCATGGGTAGAAAATTCGAAACAACTTTTAAAAACTTCACTTTTTTGTTTCTCGTTTCAAAATTCTGCACAGAAGACTGAGCAAAGAAAGGTGATCTGTATACAAGGCGCGCGCTGACAGAGTCGGCTCACATGCGAAATTAAAGATCAGTACCGCAAAGAATAGTTTTTATACTGATTTTATAATATTTATATTTGACACCCGATTTTTTTTTTCTCATACAAAAACTGTATTACGTGCCTTAGGCGGGGGTCCACCTGGAATGCCATTTTTCCGCATGGGTTTAATGGAAATATCTCGTTCACGTTTCAAAGCAATCCAAAAAACTCTATGCTCATCTCATTAATCTATGTTATGCGGGTGTTTGTTAAATTTTTGGGAGGAAATATAGTTTTTCTCAAAGGAGTTGTAAAATTTAGGATAATAAGAAATATATGAAGAGAATAGAATTTGAAGTTAAAAATTAGTAGATGGACACCAAAACAGACAGTTGATACCACGCGGGTGCACTTGCGTCGGGTATCAACTGTCTAGTTGGTGCTCCAAAAATCATTTTTCTTCTTCTATCCCTTCTTTAAACCTCTTAAAATTTCATTGAAATTCACGTGTACCCGTGGGCAATATGGCGGGAAAACTTTGAAAGGGTCTCGATATATAATAATAATAAAAATTAAAAGCATTTATTTATACACGATAGGATTAAAGGCCGGTTTAAACGCTACGATTTGTCGGCCCGAAACACGACCGAGCGACCGAAAATCCCCCTGCCCGATTTTAAAAAATCTGTTGCAGCACGCAACAGATTTTACAAATCGGGGCGATTTTGAATCCTCGCGCGATATCGATAAAAGAAAAAATCGGCCCGATAAATCGTAGCGTGTAAATCCGGAGCCTTACGAGTGTGCCGACAGATCGGGCCGAGAAATCGTTTAGCGGGGAAACCGGCCTTTAAAAGCAGCCATAGCTGATGTGGTGGTCATACTAAAGTAAAAAATTACAACTAAAACTTTAAAATTACAATCAAGAAATAAGATGCATCGAAAAGGGTAAAAGCGTGAAGAGATGAGAATGTAAGGAGGTTAAGTTGGGAAAACGAGGGACATGCGTGTTCAGCCCAGTGGCAGTACTGAAAAAGTGTCCATAAAACAGCGCCGCGATAGGAAAGTGATTTCGTCGCTAATATAAAGAGAGCAGAAAACTGTGCGGATTTCTACCGCTACAAACTGCTTTCAATCCCTCCTTAATTCTCTTAGCACGTCTGTAGATTGCGCGCCCCAAAGATGAGGTCAAGTTCACCACGAAATTGTTCGGAGTTTTTATATTCAGACAAAGAAGCATAATTTACGAGACCCCAGGTCACCAAACTTCCTCCCAAATCCCTTCACTATTGCATTGCGCTCTCTTTCAGTCTTTCCGTGCTCCGCGATTATTTTCCTGCGCAGGGGACTTTCCCACGTAAAAAATAAACTTGTTTATCAAAAAACTAAAATTATGTCATTAAAAATACATCAAGTAAACAAAGAAATTATAACCGTATCGGAGGTTTGGATACCAGCCAGGTCTTTCAAGTGTTTTTGTTTTCGATTGAGCAAGATTATATAAATCTCCTGTGGACAGTGTTTCATCCGATTCCCCCCCCCCAAACCACCTCCAAAAAATTTCGTCAAAAATTATACTCCGCTGCGCGACTTTCAACTATTTCTCGTGGTGTTTGAAATCGGCGAAAATAATACGTATTTATTGGGTAGATATGGATTTTCTTTTCCTGGCGTAGTATCAAGCATTTTATGAAATAAACTTCTTTAAAGTGTTTGGGCATTTTAATATTTCCTTGACTTCACGAAAAAGCTTGAATAACAATCTCAAATTGGTCCCAGTCCACTGGACAAACATCTCTTTCACTCGGACCCGCCTCGTTTCGCGCTACAAAATGGTGCCACGCGCTCGCGAAAGCTACTTTTGAAAGCTCCGCGCATCGTTGACCGCGCGCCGTTCTATACAAATAACGATTTCTGACTGAAACACTTAACAGGCCTCGCAGTTTAGGGAAACTGTTCGATCGATCAGTGATCCTAGCAATTCATGGTGTGCTCAGTTTTTTAAAAGGAAATAACGTATTTTTGCGGAACTGAAATGGAATCGATGCGAAATTCCTGAATCCCCAAGCGGCTTTTCAACACGTGTGTTTACGAACTACAGCAACTTGGCAAGAGACTCTTACCGAGGTGTGTGCGTCTTGTCTTAATACCACTAGTTACCAAACATCAGATCACATGCAAATGATTCGCTGATGCTGTGCGAAAGTTGCGCACAAAACAAGTACGAAGAAATCAACCTCCGCAGGATCCCGAAGATGCAGAAATGCCTTTGAGCTCAGCAGATGTTAGTTTGACTTTAAGCGATGAAAAAGATGCCTGAAAATCAGGCATTGCGCAGAAACTGGATAGGAGAAATAACATAAACAGGCTAACTTCTACGCATCGAAGAGCACCTTAAAGGGACGAAAGTGAAGATATAAAAACATCGGTTTATTACATGCATGAGGAACCTCCCCCAAGAAACAGGATTATCGAAATTGCCAAACAAGTATTGAAGGCATGTCTCGTGGCTATGTTTTAGGACGCAGTGGTTAGCCGTCCCTCTGACTTGCCTGGTAAACATTTAATTTATCCATTAGTGTTTCAAGTAACTTGATTTCTTCGTCTATCGTGAATTTCTACAGGATACGAAATTGTAGGGCAATCCTCGGGAGGACGCGTGACATAATGGTTAGCGCGTTGGACTCTGGATCGAGTGCGTCCGGGTTCGAGCCCTGGCGCGGGGTCACTTGTGTATTGTTAGTGTTCTTGGGACAAGATATTTAAAGGGAGTGTTTTCACAGGTCCGGCGCATGTGCCGGCTTATCAACTTTATCCGTTAAAAAAACACCCACTCACATGTACTTCCTCGATGACGTCAGTTAATCACATAACTATAATTAGGCCATGAAAAACCCAAAATTCACCAAACAAATTCAAAGACGATTACACCGAGAATGTCGACATTTGAAAACCAGAATAAATATAGCAGAATTAAAATCCTTCGGGCCAACACTTTAATTCTGGTTAATTTATCTGGTATTCAATGTCGGACAATTCTCGGTGTTAATCCGTTCGAAATGTTTTGTGAATTTTGGTCATTCATCGTATTTGCTTGGACTCATTAGCTACTATTGATTATTTTGAAGTATCGAGAAGTAAAATGTGAGTGGGAGTTCAGTTTAAACGGATAAAAGTTGGATAAGCCGGACCACATACGCCGAAGGCCGTGCGAAACACTCCTTTAAACTCTCACTAGTGCCTCTCTCAAACCAGGGCCCGGTTGTTCAAGGGGACGATTCAGGCTAATCCAGGATTAGCGTGAATGATTGAAAAAAATTTTTCAGTTTTGTATTTAAACGTTGTTCAGTGGAGGTTTTTGTTTTATATTTTGTCCTTCAGTTTTGACTTTGAGTAACCTCAAACTCTACAAAACATTAGCAGCGGAACACCACATTTTATTTACAAGAGAAATTAAAACCTCGATTGACTTTTAACCCAGCATAGGCATTAATCAGCTTTTGAACAACCGGGCCAGCAGGGAGTATAATGGGTTACCGGCGGATAAAATGCTAAGGGAGAGGGGGGGGGGGGGGTGGTGGGGGGGGTGGTAACCTGCGATGGACTAGCATCCCATTCCAGGTGGGAGCAGTAGCAAACAAAAATACTATTCAAAATATTATGACTTCTAGTGTCTTCATGCTACAGAAACTGGGATAAGCTCCGAGCCCCAGTGGTGGCGTTCAGTTTGGCCTGATGTGCGGCTTTATCTTATCTCGGGAAAGTATTTTTTGCCTTACAACGGATGCGCGCAAAAAGTAGAAGTTTGTTTTATTTTCCAAAACTCATCTGACAACTTGCAGGGCGTTAATAAATTCTTCTGCACTTGCATCGCAATGGCGTTGCGTTGCAAGTTGCAAGAAAAGAATGTCTTTGTAATTCATATTTCAATAGAAAATTCGCGGAGTTGCTTTTAAAGTGAAGAAATCATATTCTGATTTTGATTAAGTCCATAAGCATAATTATTACAATGACATTGGGTTGTCTCGTAGAGATATATAAACAGTCTTAGGAGAGCAAAACGTGCCCAACTTACTCGCGTGTGTCCACAAACTCGCCGGGTGGGATAAAACGCTTAGTTTAAGCTCATTGGAAATTCTTTCTTTAGAATTTCTAGAAATTGCGAGAAAAAGCTAACGATTACGAGGACGCGAAGGCTTTACCTGTAAAATTGAAAAAGGCCATTTTTGGGATTTTTGACTTAGTTCCTTTTAGCAACTAATGTTTTCTCCAAATGTGTTAAAAGCCCGTTTACACAGGTGATTTTCGAGCTCGCGAGGAAAATCTCTATAGGGTAAACTAGCGGCTGATTTTCAGTACGAGTTTGTCGCCGCGGATAGGGTCATCGCAGAGGTTTCTTCTCTGCGATATCGCGGCCGAAAAATCGCGCCCAAATCGCCGCTAGTATACAATCTGAGATTTTTCATCGCGATGCTCGAGTGCGACAAAAGTTGTATTCGAGGTGCGCAGCAAAAATCGTAACAAAAACTCGCCTTGTAAAACGGGCCTTAACGTTGCATTTCGCTTGTTGATAAAGTTGCAAACGCAGTTGCAGCGTACTTCTGGGATCTGATTTCAATGGCAAAGTTTGTAAATAAATGCATCATTATCTTACACTGAGAAGATAATCATCATTAACTTGTTTTCTGTTAGCCAGAATTGAAGAGAAATTGTCTTGCTTTGGCGCGAAAAGTCTTTTCGACATGATGCTTGAATTGCACGAAACGTTGCGTAGTGTTAAACACCGCCTAGGAAATGCACTTGCAGCGCTGCCGCAATCTTTCTGGATTCTACTTTGTGCAACGCTTCGCTGCAACAAAGACGATGCGAGACATGACAAAAAATTAATTAATTAATGAATTAACATTTATCATACAACTCGCGTTGTACAAAAATTGCAAGACAAGTTACACGAAAAATTACTGTCACCTCTGTACTGTAACCACACCTTAAGAGACCTTTTTCTGTGAGTGATTTGAAACTACATAGTTTGCTTTTCAAGTTAAAGTTTTCTGACTTATTTTGGCATTTCTTTCCTGCGATTCAGTTACATCCAAACTGTTTGAGTTGGTAATTTTGAATAAGCGGATAACTTTAACCACACGGGATTAGAGTTGCAGTGTGTGGAAGCTCTTTGAGCGGACTCTCTCTTAAGCGGACAGCTCTACTTACGGCCGCCTTGACAGAACCCCGTTTGAACTCTAGCTCATACAAACTCTGCAGTATTTGCGCATTACCGTAAGCGGCCAGCTCCAGTTGCGGACACTTTTTCTGCTTCCCGAGGGATGTCCGCTTGCTGGAGCTTCGACTGTATCTACTGTTTGAACAACAAGGACACAAAAACCCTAAAAACTATTTTGAAACATGATAGAAAAAACGTTTTATTTTATAAGTTAGAGCGGTTTTCAATTGAGTGTCGTAAAACCAAAACCAAAGAAATTACAATGGCCAATCACAAAAAGCGAAAACAACACAATGAACCAATGAGAGCTCGGAGCAAATATACGTAACCGACGCCAAGCGCGGGAAAACGCGTGTGACCAAGTCGCGATTGGTTTTGGTTTTGCATCTGATTGGTTGAGAAGGTGGCGCGAGTTTTTTAAACCAATCACGGGAGCGTAGTAAAGCAAAACCAAAGCAATTCAGCGATTACTTTCGACAGTCAATTGAAAACCGCTCTATATAATTTAATTATAACTCTGTGTTTCTTGTCAGGAGCCGCTTGGGTTTCCATTGTCGTCATTACAGTAGCTGGTGCGGCTAGTCCTCCTGTGTTTTTCGCAATAGAGGGGTACCAGAAGCACACTTCTAACAGATGGTGGACGTACACACGCAAACAGCGATATCTCGCGGTTGGTCGGGGTATAGTCATTGGAACTGTTTTTCTCCCCTTACTGGCGCCTTGGGAATTTACAAGTTGTTTAAAATTATCGGTACAAAAATACTTCAGAAAAAGATCTATTGGATACAGCTTCTTGATCCCCGCGGCGAACGTGCCTTAGAAGGGACGGACGAAAACTCTAACCGGGAATGGCAGATGGAAAGCGTTAGAACCCACCATGCTCGTGCTGATTTCTTGGGCAGCGATAGAAGAGATTCGAATAACGACAGATACCAGTGTAATGACCATGATCACGCAGGCCCGAGCCATTCAATACCTCCTGGTACTGCTAGCTGTAACGATGGGTTGCAAGATAGCTGCCAAGTGGATGAAAACGCAGCGATGTAAAACGAGTCCTGGCGCTGTTAGGCTCAACCGACAACGAAGAAGAAGACGAAGAGTTGGCAGATTTTGAAGACTCCTGTCAGGAATGCAGACGAACAGCGCGGAAGCCGGACGATGGACGAGAAGCTCTGTCTGACGAGGAAATACGACGACTATGGACGCCGAGATACGCAGCGGGTATGGACAAGAAATGCGGTATCAGCAGACTTTCTTCGATGTTAAAATACTAAGTGAAGATTTTAATGAGCGCGAACTTGTCAGCGGACTCGGTAGCGGTCCGTGTGTATTTCATCAGAAGCGCAATGAAACAAACCAAGCGTTCAACGAGGAGGAAAACCAGTTCAATCAAACAATTGGATTTTGGAAGTATTGCATTTGACCAGGTACACGAGAACAACGATCGGGGTCAACGAAGATGGTGGAAGTGAGCAGGGATGAAGGAGCTGTAAATGGCGCAAAGTGTTTGGATGTTACTGAGGAGCTCTCTACCGGGGTACACAATACAGTCCAAGGGGCAGAGGGAGGTTGTACTCCCCAGTGTCAAGACATGAAAGACCTGCCTGAAAAGGAACCAAAGAAGACCAAACGTCGACGCAAAAAACGAACTGGCAAGCAAACGCTGGTAGAAAATCTCAACAGTCCATCTGTAAGTGCACCAAACGAAACACAACACAAGGACGAACTGGACCAAGGAACTCTCCAAACACAGTCGCTAGAGACCAGTGATACTGACCATGAAGATGAAAAAGAAAAGGCGACAGAAATGAAAGCCGAGAATGCAACAACTCGCAAGTCTCGTAAAGACGAACAAGCAAAGCTTTCCGCAGAGGAGATTCCCAGAACAGAGGCTAGTATTGCAGAGAAAGGCAAGGTAGAGGAAGAACAAACAGAGCAAGCTGTTCCTCGTGTTGTCAAAAGAAAGATCCGTTGTCGAGCTACGGTGAAAAAGAAAAAACCCCGAAAGCTAAAGATTGCCCTCCAGAACAGAAAACACACGAGGCCAACAGGAAGAAGAACGATGAAAAACCAAAGCAAGATGCGCTTTCGTCATCGAGTAGTGAACATGACGTCATAGCGCTCTATGATGAGATTGATTAGTGTACATAAAAACTGTCTAGTAGTAGCGTCTAATTTTAATTTTAACGGGAGGTTTTTGAACCTTACTTTTTAGTTTATCGTTTTTTCTTAACATAATAAAATAAAATTCATGTATTTGCTGCACTAAGATGTAAAACTGATGAGGTATATGAAGTTAATAGAACGATCTCCGATTTGAATTTTCGATCTGAAAACCCTAGAGTTCTTGTTTTATATGTTTATTAAAATGTTGGCTTAATTGCCCGATAAACTGAAGAACTAACATAACTATTTTCTAATATTAAGTCAGTCTTGTGTAAGTTGCAAGAAAAATGTCAGTCTATTTTTATTAATAAAAAGCATTGTCATCTATCCCGCTGCTGTAT